CGGGGGTCCTTATATCCAATTCAATCAAAAGAATTGCTATGCACCACCAGAAAATCCTCACTTTTGCTTTTCAGCTTAATCTAAACCAAATTACTCCCCAATAAGCTGCGTTTACTAGCAAACAACACTGGAAACAAAAGGCCATCTCGAGTTGAAATACGGATACCAACTCGAGATTGATATCACCAAGTTGATCAAGACTATCAAGTCAAAGTGTATTGAGTTAACACCTGCACAGAGAGAGGTGCGCAAATCAGCCTCTAGCTACACTATAAAGGATACCAAAAGGCTCTAACAGGAAAGAGGTGCTGCGCGGGATCCATCTTCAACAGAAATCAAGGTACGACGATCGTCTAACAGTTTCCGGCCGGAACTGTGTAAATCTGAAGATACCAGTGAAAAGAGCACGGTACTGAACAGGTTACGTGCTGGAACCAAGGAAATCCGTCTGTTATCCAGTGAGTTATCTTCAATCGCGCGTAATCAGGGTTCGATACTCACATCACGACGAGCGAAAGTCAACAGTTGCCGATCTACCTATCGACTGTTGTGGACGTTGCAAGGCATCGACACGATAGAGAGGAAGTTGCGCAACACGACGACAGAGCTGCGGCTATCCTGGAAGCACTAACTCCCGATATTGAGTGAGATAGGTTGATCGAGTGATTTCCTGCTATTGTGACGTGAAACACAAAGAATCCCGGTAACACCGGAGATCTGAACTCAACGAGAGAGTTGTTCAAGCTATTGAAACTCACACAGTGCACTTACCCAAGCATACCAAGACCATCTGCAAGCTTTGCAGAGGCAACAGAGGACCAACAGAGGCAGTTCGCTACTACCCAAAGGTCCACAAAGAAGATACCACGTTCTACGTGAGCTGTCAAAGACAGAGCTATCCAGCCACAAACAGGTGCACCAAGAGTGACCAAAAGAAGGCTATCCAGCCAACAGAAGCTTTTACAGGCAACTACACGAGTAGTGCCCGTGTGAGAATCCTTCCTGCAGGAGTATCCACACAAGAACAGTTCCACGAGAACACAAGCTAGTTCCAAGGAACAAGCAAGCACAAGAGTGCATTACCACACCAACGGCAACCATGAGTTCCAAGAAGAGGTGGTGTGGTGGAGGAAGATACCCTTCTAGGGGGGTAGGGATTCAATTCCTCAGGAAGAAGCCTCCAAGGAAGAGGCAACAGCTACAGAACCAGAACAAGAGTCCAAGCGTCAGTTCCCTTCTCATCCAAATGGACAGGCTGACACAGGTATTATCCTTTGAGGAGACCCTGACAAACATTGTCAGGACCTAAGGATCAAACCTGAGTGAATGATGTGCCTCTGGCTTCATTGGCCATTGAGACCATGAAAGTCAGCGCCATCCAAGGCGGACAAGCCGACACTCCAGCCATCACTTGTGATCCCAAAGTGCAAGAGACGATGCTTTGGAACTCCGAGTACAAGGCAAAGTCACCATCTACGACAAGTGCACTCGATCCTATGAGAACATATCTCAAGACTGGTGCAACCACCATACAGGTAACATACTGTACCTGAAGCAATGAAGTCCAAGTTGAGAGGCCTCCCAACTATGAAACATGGAAAAATCTATCTATTCGGTGAGAGAGGAGTCAATTCTTGTAGTATATATACTTTAATATACCACATTATCACTCCCCAATTGCCGAACGCTATTACAGCACTTGAGATAAGCCAGCACTAATTACACGTAAGCTGGTGTGTATGCAGGTAATATCTTACGCTTTAGCGCTGCACTGTATCCAAGCGCTAGCCATTCGAGTGTCACGGAAGGATCTTCTTCTCCCGTACGTCAGTGGAAGGTACTGACTCAGTGGAGGTACGTTTCTCTAACTCGCGCGATTGCTCCCACTAGGAACCTCCGGAATTCCTGGACTATGCTTGGAACGATCTTACAAGCGACCCAGTACGGTGTGAAGAATGGTGTATCTTTTCTTTGTGTTTTTAGCGAACTGCTCTGCTACGAAGCGGAATCTGACTGTCGAGCTCTGTACGTAGAGGTGATACAGTACGGTTCTTCCTTAACTCACGAGCGAGGTGGAGATCTTTTCTGAAGGACTTAGACGATACTACCTATGTTCCGTTTTCCGACTGTCACGATTGGAGAGTTTCAAAGAGAGAACTCCCCCATAGTCTATGTGTACATTACTAGGGGACGTCATGAGTACTATTTTTAACTATAGAGACTTGCTAATCTCTAAGCCTGGAGGTAACTTCTCCCCCCAAGTCTTTTTACGGGTGGATGGTACGAATGTCACGGGGAATGCAAGACCTTAACTCCCCGGAACGGTGCATGCTTACGTATGTGTCGTGCCTCTCTAGCCCTGCAGGATCTGGTCGTGCAGACTTGTAGAATGCATGAGAAGACTTATGGCTACCGCTAGTGCATACTTACTGAAAGACTGCCGACAGAGAGCTTCACCACGGTGAGGTGCGATCCTGGAACCATCCTAGGAATCGAACCAACAGCCATGGCACCCAAACGCCCCGTGGACCGAACGATACTACTATGTACCCTGACTGGCCTTCAGGAGGTCGGAATCGACTGCAGGGTACAGGTAATCCACTGCTGGTCTACGAAGGAGGCGACTTTAATCCAGAAATCAGAAAAATCTTATCTCATTCGGTGAGAGAGGAAGGCAATCGGGAATACTTGTATATATTACCAATTATCATCCCAAGACTATGGGATGCAGTCAAGCTCGACCCCATTGTGATGCTCCAGATGAACGTTTGATAGTGATGCAACGCTCTACAAAAGAGTTCCCATTACTACATATTCATCAGACCATCCAACGTGGTCTGTTCCCGAACAGCAAGAGTATCATGACAGACTTGACATACTACTTGAGGAAGGTCGAACAGCGAGTGGATCAAGTTATGATCTGGTCGGCACGGGTTCTATTGATGTAAGAACTCTGCACTCAGACGACTACCAGGCGGCATCTGGACAAGAGCCAAGACAAGGTGTTAACTTGCGGACAAGCAAGGTTGAAAGGCAACCGGGCCTACCATGACACAAAGGGAAAATAGGAGATACCAGAAGACCGTTGAGCAGCCGACGCCATGAACGGTAACATCCATCCTGAACCCTGATTCATCTAGAGAGAACGCTGTCCAATGACAATTCAGCCCAGAAGGAAGGTGGACCAACGAGAGCCAAGGACACGGAAGCCATATTCCACACCCAAGCCACCCTCCTTTTGATCGCAAGAAGATGAAGGAAGGGCTCCAGCTGCTGTCTTTTCAGCAGTCCAGCCCGGGGAAGCCTGCTACTGTTGTGGAGGCCCAGATGCACAAACCTCCGCAGTGCAAGGTGAAGGCGAAGATCCCAAAGCCTGAAATGGCCATCAACAAGTTCAAAGGCATGAAGAAGTCCTTCATGCCACAGTATCACCAACACCCGATGCAGCTACTCCAAGGAGTGCCCCACACAGTGGTGACGGCGCCAACTCCAGCTCCAGCTCCAGCTGGAGACTCTTCGAGCAGGAGTGGATTCAGTGGTATCCCTCCACCTCCTACGATGCAGTCGATTTTCAAAACAGTTCCCTATGTCAAGCCAAGCCTCCAGGCCAGCGCGGCAGGGACACTACAGTTCCATTTTCAGCACCATCAAGTCAATGGAGTCCCGCCCTTGATGGGCAAAGATGATTCAACCACCGACAATGAGCCGGAAGCTTCCATTGACTGGGGAGCATCCGCTACCGATTTCCTTGGAGGCATCACACTCTATGCAGAAGAGTGGATGCATGATGAGACATCATCAGAAGAAAGCTATCACTCCGGCTACGGCAATGATCAGCTCGCTGAGGCAGGTCCTGACGGTGTAAGCATCGGATCCGACCTTATCCTCCAGCGGTACAATGATACACATAATATTATTGTCAGTCTTTCTGCCCACCCTGACACTAGCACTTTAGACCTAAAACTCCCTTGGTTCCTTGCATGATGAATTTACATGCGAACCGGACTAGATGATTAATACACGAGTCAATAGTAAAGAGGTGTCAGGTATGTTTCCTCCAACACACCCCAAACAGTGTGCATCACCCCCCCCCACAAAAGCAGAGTTCAAGGCACGAATGGAACCATATGGAGGAACTCCAAGTCATCCCACTTAGGCCCACTAAGGTCCTTCAGTTTGAGGTGAGCCTCAATGCTGGTGTGACGCAGGTGCGGATAGTCCCGTACAAGTTTCTTCTTCCATTATTCGAACTTGGCTTTGATGTCTGTTTCGGCGTCTTCAGCGCCTTTGTCATCAGAGTCCGATGGCTCTCACCGTCTTCACCTGCCGTAGTGCTCTTCTTCTTCTTCTTGCATGCTGAGAGCACCGTGAAAAACAAGTACGGGTTCCCCTCAATATGGGTGATGTGTCCAGCCATGTGACACATGGAAAGAGGACCAAAGACGGCAGATCCATGAGAACCGAAAACAAGATTACCGATAATATCGTTTGTATTGGTGTAGTAATGACTCCAAACACCATGCTGATGGAGAGGCATCTTGACGAAGAAAGCCCAATCGGGCTTGTTTTCATTTCCATCCCAGTACAGGGAATGGTGTCCAATACAATGCGGCATAGTGGTAAAAGTGGCATCGGTGTCCACTTTCCTCTGAATAACAGAGCAAGACAAGTGCCATTCGTACCCTTCCTGACTTTCTTTGCCCTCTTCCTCACCCATCAATTGAAGATATGTATTCTTGATTTGGCTCACAAATATTGCAGCAGCATCTGATGCATCCCCTTTGGAAGCTGGATCGGCCTTCATGGAGTTCTGCACCATCCGTTGAAGTCCATCCACCCAGACTCCTTCTATGTTTTGTTCGGGCATGAAGGTTGCCTGTAACAATGTTGGCATAGCGGGGGAGTACTTCCGAAACTGTTTCCCACAGTACGACGCCCCAACAACATGTGGCACGGTCTCAACTTCCTTCTGGTGAATAAGGTTGTAGAAATTGTCGAGGGCTTTGTTGTCCACTTCGATACATATAAGCTAATGGCCATTTGGTCAACTCTGTTGCCATAGTGATAAAATGTATTTTTATTTCTTCAAATTTTTCTTTTGTAAGCCAATCATTTCAATGCAGGATTCGCGAAATGACCACTTTTGTTAGAAATGACTGCTTCAGATTTTGGTTTGGCCAAAACGAGAATCCATTTTGACACCTGTCAGCGGTGAATAAAGTCAGCCCATCAGCTCGTACATCCTGCCTCTATATTTTACTGGTATGATGAATATGTACAGATTAAAAACGGTATTAAAAGCAATAACATTTCATTGGACTTTTTAAAAGCCTCCATCACATCTTTTACCGGCCTCACTGGCATCCTGGGAGGGTGTGACAGGCACATCTTCCCAATGCAAGTCTAATAGAAGTACTAGTACACCTATCCCATGTCAAAACCAAACGAGAATCCAGTCTTTTGCTTCTTGGCTTCACGAAAGACTGCCTGAACTTGATGCTTCGGGCCGCTAGGCTCACCGCTCCCATTCGACTTTGCGGCGGCAGCTGCTGGAGTAACTTCGTTGCCCGGGTCGTAGGTGCGGTCCAAGTAAAGAAACACAGCTAGGATATATCTCGTGCCCTTCACCACGGCATCCCCACCGTGACGCAACGAATCTCCTTTGAATGTGACCACTTCCCCCACGCTAGGAGACAGGACTGTGTCGTAGTCATGAAAGTACGTCCCTCCTCCTTCAAAGTCATCATTCAGACAAATGACAGCACTATGTGTACATTCATCCAGATGACAGGGCAAGTGATTGTTGGTAATCGGATGACTGCTATCATCTGCTGATGACGACGATTTACCTTGATATCGGACAAAGAATGCGTCGTGCACATAGAATCGTTGTCGCTGTTCCTTTCCTTTCTTAGGTAGTAGTCGGAATTGCTTCATCATGAGTGGCGCGCATTGCTCTTCCATCCATGGCACAAACCAATCCAATAGTCCTTGAATTTTGTGTACAGGGATATCGTTGGTGGGTACGGCATAGTGGCGGCCGGTTGTCCATTGTCCATTCCGTGTTGCAATGTCAATGAGCTCCTGACAAGTAGTGGCTTTCAGCATGGGCGTGACGAAGCACTGGTCGTCAAAATGGGAGTGATAGTTGTACTCTTGCGTCTTCTTCTTTGCCAGTGATGATTGTTGTTGTTGTTGCGGCGATGGAGAAAAGTAGCGATATGCTTGCTGTTTCTGGAGCTGTAGTTGAATCCCGCCATGAGCATCAATACTTGCATCCACTTCAGCAGCAGCATTCTTCCAGCTCAATTGTGCATCCAGAAACTTGCCTTGGGCCAGTTGCAAGGCCCCCAACGCGTGGCGAATATCATTTTGCATGTCATCGTTGTCGGAAGTGTTGGTAGCCAATGCTGCTTGGTAACAAGCCTTTGCGTCGGAATATCGTTCTTCTTGAAAGTAATAATGTCCCAACCGGACCGATTCCTTCCATGTACATGTAATACTAGGATCCTTCCCGGTGTTGGTGGATTGTCGGGAACTCATGACAAGCGGGCACGTGGATTGTTTCGTGTCATGGCGACACAGTAGACAGGGACGTGTATCAGAATCCCAGAACAACAAAGAATCGTCTATATCTGGCAATCGACAACAACGACGACGAGCCTCTCGCTCCATGGGTCCATGATCCAGCGGCACGGTGCAGATTGTAATCGAGTTGTTAAGATCTCCACTCACGTCCAGATCATGATCGTACAAGGCAACGAGGTTTGCTTTGGTCGGGGATTCCAGTTCCAACGTAGCTTCAGGAAGACAGGAGTGACGGATTCCAGTCCAATTATTGGCATTGTGTATTGTAGTAGAAGAGGATCCGTTTGTTGGTGCATGGTAGATTGGTGCCAGAAGAATTGCAAAGAAGTTGCGAGTGCCGTGTGCATCTTTCAATATCTGCGACAATCTCATGGCCATGGTCCCAGAAGAAGAAGACGAAGCCCTGTCTATCGTGCCACTATGAAATTTGGATTGTAATTTCAGTAGGTGCACTGCTTGGGTAACTTGATCGCGTGTCAGGAATGGCACGGTTTGCGTCGCATAGGTCAGCAATGGATGAGGTGCCGACACTAGAATCAACTGCTCCTTGACTTGACGATGCAGTAGTTTCCAATCGGTCCATGAAATGTGGTCTTGAATCCACGTCCAAGCATCGCAGGATAATTCTTCATCGTCATCTTCATCATCATTTTTATTAATAGCAATATTATTATGATTCACTGTGGAAGATTCTGGTTGTTCTGTGGGCATGATCCCGAGCAAGGCGATGTAAATGGCAGTGACAATGGTATAAATGGACCACGGATTGCTGTATCCAGTATTTTGTCTGGCAGCAGAAGCCCGTTTCAATAGTTTTTCAACTTGTGGTGGTGGTGGTGGAATAATAGACTGTTGTCTTACATCTGTTGCTGCTTTCAAAGGATTGTGCTTGTTTGTGTCGAACAGTGGCAAATTCTGGAGTATTTGGTCTTCTTCTGGAGAAGTGAAAAACAGGGGAAAACATTTCCATGGGATCACAGACTTGATCACCTCTCCTTTCTTTCCCTTCCTCTTTACATGGTTGCTTTTGGGTTGGTCTGCCATGGCCTGCACTTCATGCCTGCTAAAGTTTACGCTGTAAAAATGGATGGCCAAAAACAAAATTGATTTCGAATTCAAATAGTCTAGACATGGTCGCACATTGCTTCTGGATCTCTCTTTTCAGAACCGCTCTTTCAAAGTCGCCATCAAATCCGCCACCAGCGAGTATTCACAGCGCCAAAGTGGTCTAAGTAAAGGACAACCAAGACAGACCAGCAGTTGCCATTGCAAGCTCGTCGGTGCCTACAACAGCACAACAACAACAAGAAGCGAGTAACTGGCATTCTAGCTAGTAGACATTGTGGTCACGAGAGTACCACACACTACAAGTGGACGTAAAAGACAAGGGAAAGTAAAGCACACACACGATGAATAATTTGAATTTCATTCGGACATTGCTGGCATTGCTCTTGCTGGCCGACACGACTCTGGCATCCGCAGGAGCAGGAACCGGCTACGATGATTCTAGTAAGAACGCGTTGGAGGGTTACACGCCCGGCAAGAAATTGAGTCGCAAAGAGCGCATGGAATTGGCCAAAGAAGAAGCGAAAAAGTACATGGAACTGCGTCGTCAAGGCGTCGACGAAGTG